AAATATTCTAAATAAATAAATAAATCTATTAAATGTTTACCCAGCATCAACCATACCACCTGGCAAAGCTAATTCTCCCGTATCTTTTCTACAAATAAGTATTATTTGTAAAACTTTTTTTTTATCATCGTGTTCATTTTCAGCCCAACGTGTAACAATAGGATCGCCAGCATGATTTGGTCCCCATCGACCAAGTAAACCACGTCCGGATACTATGAAATAAATCAATATAACATTTAAAATAAAATAAAAATAAAAATAAAAATATATTTTGATAACATACATCCAGTACGACCTTGAGGATTGTTTGGTCGATTTGTTTTTTCATCTATTTCATATTTACCCATTGCACTTGTTCGATCGATTTTTCCATCTATTTCATTAAAATGTTGAATTTTTTTTCTTTAAAAATGAATTTTGAAAATAAAAACAAAATAAATTAATTTTAATTAATCTTACGCATCAGAATCATCAGCCCAAGGTGGATTTTTTAAAACCACAGGTGATGTATATTCTATGGGATCGTAATCAGACCAATCAACATTCCATGGAACTTTTACATCAACAACAGGTCTTCTCTAATTAAAAATCATAATCGTTAAATTTAATAATATTTAAAATAGATTAAACTCTACATTAATATTTTCTGTACCAGAATAAGGTGATTTTCGAGCTTTAATATGAACATTTGTCATTTTTATTGTTTCAATTCTATTCGATGATAAATATATAAAAACGTTATATTGTTCAGACGTCCACAGAATGATTGCAAATATTATTGTTATATATTTATATTTTGATGTTAGTATAAAAAATTTTCTTTTTTCTAAAAAAAAAAGAAATAATAATCAATTTACTTTTCCGTTGTATTTATATAAGAAAAGCGCTTGACAAAAAGAAATGTGTCGACCTTGTTGTTTTATTGTAAAACAAAAAAAGCCGAGAATAGTTAAAATGATTGACTTTTTTCTCTTCTTTAAAAGAAAAAGATTTTTATTTTTATTCTAATTTTTCTATGTTTACCTTCGATAAGAAACAAAATGTTTAATGAAGTAGAGAAGATTTTTTCTAAATAGAACAATTTTTAAAATAACTTGAACTATCATCAACTACTGAAAACGACATTAGAAAAATTTTTATTATTTATATCAATCAATATGTTATTGCAACATAGACAAGAAATTTTCCTTAATCATCATGCATTTAACATTTTTTCTTGCTTCTTTTTTTTGTTAAATATCAATAAAATATGTCTCATATAGATTTCTGAATTTTTGACGATTTTGAAAAATTCTTTCAGAGATCAAATATTCTCAATTCTTTATCAAAAACATATTTTTCGTAAAATAAAAGTTGATGTTATTAGTCAATTTTAATTAATTGTTATTTTCAGTTCGAAAGTTAATTTCTGTTCTCAGTTCCAATTTGACTAATTAAAGAAAAATTACA